CATATTTAAAAAACTAATAGAATTTACATCAAATAATCACTGAATTCTGTGCAGAATTGAGTGAGAAATAGCTATTTTTTGTTTTGTTTACTTTTGTAACAAAAAATGATGAATCATCAAGTGTGACAATACTTATGAAAAAGGCAGTAACATTGCAAGGTTTTACTGGTTGCGGACACAAATGGTCAGTGCTCTGGTTTGCAATACTCCTAAGCAAGATGGTGATGGTACAAGTACCAATTTCGGTTCGGTGGCCCAGTTGCCTAGCGACCAGGTGCTGTGGTTTCTTAATAAGATTTACTTTGGGTTGATTTTGAGAATGATTACTTCTTGCTTTCCCTTTCTGATTGCATTGCCTTTTCGATTGATTTCATTTACATGGTTCTGTTGCATGCGTGTATTCTTGTAAGTCTACTGAGGACCACTCCTTACATTGCTGTGTCTGTCTGCAAACAGTACGTAGTAGTGATCCTTCTCCTTCTGTTCCGTCACGTGATATTACTTTGATAGGTTTAACACTTTGCCCTTTGCTGACACTTCAGATGGTCCAATCGAAATGGGTACCCAAGTATGTTTGCCATTCTAATGATTAATTGTCTGCTCTATAATGTTGGTTTGAACCCCTCTACCCTTCTCGTAAGCACCTGGATTAAGACTGCAAAATTATAAGTACTTATGCACAATATCCACATGATATCAGAGCTTGACTCTAGCAGTGCTTATCCCTCCCAATATGTCTTCAAACGCGCAGAGACATTGCTATCCACTAGATAGCCCACCACCATTGACTAATCTCATGCCTTTCAGACTAAAATCCAACAATGCACCAAAGCTTCATAGTAGATGGAGCGAACCCATTCCCTCCCTGATACCACATAGAAGATTGGGAAACGGGGCTTTTGGCCTTGTATGGGTATGTGAATAGTTTCTCAACCCTGATACACAATCTTGGGCTATTCACCCAGCATTATAATGTTACTTCAGCTGACGGAATCAATCATGATAGGAAGTTACAAGGCCAGACATTGTCAACGAAAACGGAGAAGAAGTAAAATATGCTGCTAAAATAACTAGAAAACCCGAGTCTCAAGACAAATACTCTAAACAATTAGCCCAAGAAGATGAAGAGTGGGTGAGAAGTGAAGCTCGAATCATGAGGGAGCTTAGCCATCCTAATGTGGTGCGTTCAGCTTCCAGTAATTGTCTTCTATATTTGATAGTGACATAACATTGGTTTCTGGTTCTTATTATAAAAGCTCAAATGCTATGGTGTTTTTTATAACGATTACTTGTGGGTAATTGTTTGTGAATTTGCTAAAGGTGGCGACCTCGAGAAGCGCATTAAGTCAGAAGGACCTTTTACAGAGAGAGTCGCAAAGCATTATACATGGTATTCACTTGAATTTTCAAACAGTCTTGAGAAATATCTAATTAGATGTGATTAGGCAGCTCCTAAATGCAGTGGCTCACTTCGATACAAATTACACCTTACACAGAGACCTTAAGTAGGTTCTTCTGGGTCTCTGTTGGTATTAAATTCTAGTGTCTAATATCTCCAACTAGACCAGGCAATCTTCTGTTTAGAACCTACAGTACTTCCTCACGTTCATCTGACTCTTCATCTTCCTCATCTTCATCAAGTGCGAAAATGAAAGAAGGACTTGTTGTGGGTGACTTTGGCAAGTGAGCAACAAGCCATTACCACAAAGTTCTGACCCCAATCTTACTGACATAATACTTTCTAGTGCGAGAAGAAATGAAAGGCGCAAAGCACATAAGTTATGTGGAACGATTGGATATTTAGCTCCAGAACAGTCCAAAGGAGAGTACACGACCAAAGTTGATATGTGGTCGGTAGGGTGCGAAAACTTACATTTTTACTATTCAAGAAAGTATACTCAAGCTGAATATATCTGCAGGAGTATTGTAAATGAACTTTTGACTAAGTATAATGCATACGAAGCTATTGGCTACAATCGAATTCTCAGGTCCAAGCAAAGCAATGGCAATGCAGAGGATTTTGAGATAGTAATGACAAATGAAATGGTAGATGGGATATTCATTACTTCAAATCTCTGGAAATTCTGCTCTGAAGATGGTAACTAATGAATAGTTATAGAACGAGTGATTATAGACATGGACTAATCTTGGCTTGACACTAGCTAAAAACTTTGTTCGGAAATGCTTAGAGGTGGATCCTGACAAAAGAATGTCTGCACATAAGGCACTAAGCCACCCTGTATGTTATAATCTATGTGCCTCATTAACACCAATGTACCTAAAAATTTTACCTATTATTTCTCCAGTGGCTTCGTGAATACAGGAGGGACACGGGTAATAATGTGGAAATCCCTATTAGGTCAAAACAACTATGGAGCAAAGGTTTGTCTTCTGTACAGCAGAAAGCTTCAGAAGCTTTGCAGGAGAAAGCTAAAGGCACAGCAACTTCAACTGATCCTAGAAAGGTACAAGCTATGAGTTCCAAAGATAATGGAAAAGGAGGTCATAAGCATAGAGGTACTAAGTAGTATTTATGCTAGATACATGTTCTGCAACTATTGTTTGTTGGTCAAAGAATTGCTTAATTGGATGTGCCTTTGCTTAATAGTGGCATATTAGCATATGGACTTAGATCATAGAGCCTTAGACAGAAGGGAGGAATTAGCCTCGGTTTGAATCCCCTACGATATACTGACTCCTGAGTCCCACATAATCAAAAGGTCCTGGAAAGGATAGTACATTGTCGTGCTGGTTATCAAGATGCGATCAATCAGAAAATTTTATTTTGCAGTTCCCAAGTACACCCTAAGTACTATTCTGGTGAACCGAATTTGGAGTCGGTGGGGTTTGAGATTCATTATTTAGAAATAAGAATTGTTGGCATATAGCTTGAACATTATCGATTACGTGATATAACCACAAACGCGGACGAGTGGCGCGGGCGGTTCCCGGTGTAGACTCAAAGCATGTCCGCATCATTGGAGACCTCGAAAGGACAAGGCTTGTTTCCCGGCTACAAACAAGTGGAAGGATTCGGACCGGATGAAGATTACGATGACGAACTGGAAGAGTGCTATGTCACACTTGACCTCGGAAGTGTCGATCAGACACTCGTGCCAAACAGTGCAGCGTATCGTCTCATCGTATGTGAAAATCTGGAATGGCATCCGTCGTGAACGTCCTGACTAGTCGTCCTTGCGCAGGGTCTGGACACTCCGAATCCGTTATTGCAGATTTCTGGAACCATCATGAGGGGATATCATCGAACACTTATTGGAACGGAGCTCATATTCAAGGACGCTACAGGTGCGAGTCTGTTTTTCATTGCCTCCCAAACCTACCAACTCTTCATTTATGATAGACGAATCTGAACTGCCATCACAAAGCGACATCCAATACTTTACAAGCACCGATCGTCGGATAGTGTTCAGAGAGGTCGAGTTGAAGCCGAAATCCGCTGAACCTACATCTCAGCAGACGCCTCGCAAAAAGAAATATGCTTTCTCACTTCCATACATCTCGGCGACAGATGCAAAAGAAGCTCAAAACAACGAAGGTCCGAGCACTTCTATTCCACAATGCGTAGAGATGACCGAGGTCACCGATGCGAGCCCTACGATCGAACGTGACTTCAGTGTTTCTGAAGGAAGCAGATTTCTTGAATTCCGATTAAAACAAGCATCTGAGGTCCAAGAAGATCAAAACATGGATGTAGACAAATGATATTATCATCACGGCGAAGGCACTTCTGGGTATAGGTTGGACGACACATCAACTTGCTCGCCCATTATGACGCGATATGAAAAAGTGCCTGTCAATGGGTCAATGCGGACGAACCTTTTACAGGGAATTGGAAGACCGCAGGTCGACTCATGCTGCGAGCAACGAGCAACACGTCAACTAAGATTCTTTAGCAACGCTGGCATTCGTTAACGCACCGATTGGCCAGTGCAGCACGTGAAGACGTGTTGATGCAATTAACCGGACAAGTCGTTCTTCTCGCCATCTTCAAGCATCTTAGTCACCTATGCTTTCTCGTTGACAGAATTCAACCGTGCGTTTTAAATAAATAACGTGTTTTCATTTGAAATGTAACATAGCCAAAGTTTGATTTTGCAATTCATGACTCGCTACTGTTTTAGAACACTGCTAGCACATGCTTGTTCTCGTTCAAGTATAGTGAACTGACTGGCAGAAGCGGAGATCGGGCTTTTCGGTCTACCAGAAGAAATCGGGAAGATCAAATAACTCTCGGCCTACTAGGATCCTAACACATTCCAGTATTCTGATCACTGATCAGTGTGTGCCGTCGTGCTACATCGGCGAAACAGTCTCTCGAGTCATTCGGGTTCAAGGCCTGCAAGTCTATAGATGGCTGCTCCTAGCCGTAATAGCCCTCGTCCCCCAACTCTCTCGCGAGTTGCAAAGTGTGACCACAAGGAGGCCTCTTCATCAGGCCATGATTTTGAGAGAGAACCAGACGAAAGCATGTACTGTCAGCGTCATAGGCAGAGACAGAGAAATCAATGAACATTGTACAGTGCTAAAGCAACTCTGTATGAAGGCACGTAAGGTAATATACAGTCCATGTTTTTTTACTCACAGGTATTTTCATAGCAATTTCCTTGTCTGTAATGTTTTAATAGTTGGGTTGGGTAGGGATAATGGTGCAGGTTGGGGACAAGAGGTGGGAGTTTTTGCCTATGAAATATGCAACAAATGCGAAAAGAGTATGCTTGACTCCAAGCCGTGGAAGTCCTTGAGACATTGAACCGATCTGTTGACGAAAAATGTGCAGTCAATGGTATGCATCTGATCTCACATATCACTACAGAAATTGGATGTCTTACAATACAATAAATGAAGTTGCAGTTTTATGGAACATGTTCAGCCAATATGCTGAACGCATTCCTAACAGTTGCAGATCAACAGGGCACCGTGCACAGCTCCATCAAGTCTGGTTCGGAGACTGAAGCGCTTTATAATGCCAGAGATATACTTAGGTCTATATGCAAAGTGAAATTTGAATGAGGACTAGAAAGGAAGATTAAGAGGTTCAACAAGAAGATAGATGCCCTTTTGGAAACAGATTTTGAGATAGTATTCAAGTAGTAAAAATATAAAGAACAGTATCAACGCTTCATGATTGTATCCTGTACATATCTATTGCAAGAACAGAAAATACAACAGTCCCTATTCTTACCCAATGGCTGATTGTGCCGCACGTATCACAGTCTTGTGGCAATTAATCTGGCTTACAACCTGTAAGGTCAGCTTCAGTTACTTTGAGTTGTGCCAGCTAAGGGCATGGACAAAAGAAATCCGACAAATGGAAGAATTATACCCATTGTTCGATCGATGACAGGCATCACAATTGCTGTCTGTCATAACTCATTTTTATTTTACTTTCAAAACTTAAAGCGTTGACGGCGTACAGACATCTCCCTCTTAGCACCCCATGCGAATCCATGTGTTGATTCTGCACTAATAATAGTAATATCATAATTCCAGCTGCCAGTACATATGGGAGGATGAAATAAATTCTATAACTGCATTCATTCCCGTTTCATGTCTGCACCAGACAACATAAACATTGCAAACTTGTGAATATGAGACTATAATGCTTTGTTGCACAATAAGGCTAACAGCACGCTGTTGTTTTCTTCCCTGCAACTTTTATTTATGTATGCGTGAACTTACACGTCGGCCATATTCTTCCTCTCAATTTCGGATTGATCTCCTACTTCCACGTTATGATCCACATCCAGCCGAAGTCCCCAAATTCATATATTGCGGTGCGAACAACTGCATGTATTTGTGTCGGTAGTAGTTAATAATTTTCTGATGAACAAGCAGCAACTATAGTAACTAACTTCAACTACAAGTATCACACGAAAGAGTCGCGAAGGTGAGGGGGAGATGTTTGAGTCAAAAATGGTACGTTGTCTCGAGAGCATCGCGAGGCAAAGAAGGGAAAATGTCCGAAATAAATGTTCAGATAGGCTCGAAATGTACCATCAGTACATGAAGGTTGGCATTTAAAGGCCAACATTGACAGGGCTGCAGTCAAGACCAATCGGAACGAGGCCTGAGTCTGAGAGAGAGATTATTGTTATCAGTAAACGTGAGTTTAAACAGCGTAAGTACACGTACTGGTAACTCCATTGCAGCATGCGGCTTGAGTGCTGCAAGTTCCAGCACTCCCAACACCAACAACACTGAGCGGGTTACTGAAAAGGTGTAAGAATACGTATGGTTTTCATATTGATTGTACGAACCAATTGATACCAATGGGGACGTTGAGGCCTTGGAGTACGTCAAGGCCAAGTAATCCACCTAGCGCGGCGTCATCTTTCCCTCCGTTAGGCTACGGTGAACATAAAGACGTCTCGTTAGCTATCAATTAACAATCAAACAGAGCATTGCTACTGACCGCGATGCTGTCACAGCATTGAAGCTTTCCGGTCGAGCACGAAGAACCTCCGCCCGGCGTGGGGACAGCAGAGACAAAGGCGGCGACCGCAAGGACAGTGGCAACTTTGAATGCGAACATTTTTATCAAGTAGGTGACTTGTTGAACGACCGACAAGGATGAAGGCGAAGATGAAGACGAGAGTCTGGTAAAGAACGACTGAAGATTTTTACTTCTTCCGATGAGGGAGAATGACTGAGAGATGGCCGAGAGTATCGAGTTTATATACGATTGAGGTTGCGGAGCTCGAAATAAATATTCTGATAAAATGGTTTTTTCCAATGATGGTTTGCTATAGGGTACCTGCACGAAAGAGGAAATTACCAGTCCTCATCTAAATTAGGTTGGGTTTACTTGTGGTAGAAATAGTTGAGATCGACGTCAACGTCAGAGAGGCGTCCGTGTCGACAGAAATATTCGGAGGCGAGTGGATGCTAGTCTAAATCTCCGGTGAACGGTCGTGTAGGCCCGTGAAAAGTAAGAAGGAAGGGCCGCAAGAGTGTATTCGCGAGAACACCACCAAAACTTGAACCAAGGAGGTATCATAATAATCGAAAAGTGCCATTAGACGAGATCATCATTGGGATGGGTTTGTTTTGCACTTCATCGAGTGATGGATACGATGAGCATGAGCCGCCCCGAAATATGATGTGGATGCCTATCAACGCCACGCAGCCTTGTAGATGTCAAAGATCTCTGTCTGTTACAGATGTCGACGGTGGCAGATCTTCATGACGGCGAGTCAAAACGACTACTTGCAATCCAGTCTAAGGAAATAGACAGTCCAAAACAGGCCGAGGCTATAGATCATCAAGGCTGCATCATAGAGTCAGTCACGTCTTCATACTTAATCGAAGCGCCTCTACAACAGAAAATCGGTCAGCATGGAAGAGACGTATCAATTGGAAAGATCAATTCGGAAATATCCGGATGGTGCTCGAACGCTACCATTTCACAGTCCTCGATTTATTTGTCTTCTCGTCTACTTATTTTGGGAGCGGCCGCGGAAGGGATGAGATCAATGCCAGACATTCAATGCGTTAGCGCTTGTATTATCCGATCGACTCTGAGTTCGGCAGGCAAAATGAAACATGTCAGATCACATCCGAAGTTAGAGAGAAAGTCATTACACTTGAGCGCGCGGAACGTGTACTAGCTTTGAAACCTAAGGACAAATACCCTTTACATAATGTCGTTGCGGAAGGAATCAGAGAAGACGCCAAGTTGGACTCGATTCTGTCCAGTATGTACGGGAGATGCGACCATCAAATTCTCTTCATCTTTACAGCGATACCTGTCGTCATCCAGCTCGTCAGGGTATCGTCATCAGGCTAAGCGTAAGAAGACCTGCACATTTGCCGTAGCGAAAGCCGCATCGTCACATAAATAGCGCATGTCACCGAGACAGATGGACAGTTTGCAGTCTGCATTCCATATTCCACCATTGACGTTAAGCACTGTCCCCAGTTTACCTTCGGTCGCTTGAGCCCGAATTTGAAAGATGAAGAAGATTGATATCAGGTTCTTCTGCCTTGAATATGCCGAAGTACTAGAGGAGAAACGCACCACCTCGATTAGTAGAAGCTCTCAAGGACATAAAGTCCGTCCATCCATTGCAACAGACCGAAACATCGCCTTCGAACATGTGCAGTAGATGCATCCTCACCCCTTGGCTCCTGACCTTGAAAATTGCAGATCACATTCCGTCGACAGTGATTGTTCACCTGTCGTCGGCTCATTCAAGGGCCCGACACTGTTCGTCGTACTTTTCTGAAAGAGAGTAAACGTATCCCTATTCTCGACTTCCTTCGACCACAACGTGTCGAACGTGACCAAAGGTCGTCTACACTTGCATATGATTAAGATTCATTTTTCTAGCTTCCTGCCGGTCTCAGAATAGACGTCATGCTCCACTCCCAGATTTCTCTCGAATGCAGAAGGACCACTGCTGAAATTGTTATTTACACAGCAGGATCAATTCACATGGAATAGAGTGTGTATTAAACCCACATGGATGTGAGCTGGGATTGATCTTGAGCGAATGTTTGGGGTTGACGGAACGGTTCTCTTCGCGTCGCAGAATCTCAACAACAAATGAGCACATGTTCATGCCGAGGGGTTGCGGATACCAAAGCAGGAGCCAAGAGAAGGACAAGAGTCGTCGATGAGACCAGCCCTACAGCGTCCATTTCAAATATTTAAGGTCAAAAGGGCCCGACGGTTTGTTTGACGTTTTGGCATTCAAGAAAGTAGACGTGAGGGGGAAGCAAATAGGCGATGACGGACAGACGCGAATCTTCACTAATAGAATTGAATTGCAAATGCAATTCGCAGTGATCTTTGATTTTTGATTCGGTACGTAATGAACCAATTGTTTTCAGGCATCGTTGATGGACAGGAGGATTGACGGCCGCGGCAATGCACGAAAGTTTGACAGACAGAAGATGGCGGATTCCAGGCGGAAGGTGAAAAGAGTGAAGCAGCGTGGGACGATGCTGATCATCCAGTTTTGATCGGAGCCTGAAATGAATTCAACGAATTCTTGTTGTTGAGCGACCTCTGGGTTTACATTCTGCGTACTGTCATCCTGCGTATACATTCCAGCCAATTATCTTCACCGCGCCGCCTGTCCTGCTCGTATCAGCCTACATGATTTTACTCTTGTGTCTTTCCGGAGCCCAAAGCACCGTGATTTCGAAGCTATGATCAGATGTTTCTTTGTTACTAAACTGTGACCGTTGCAATTCCGCCTGACGCTGAACTTGGGATATCGAGGTCGCATTATTTCCTTTTGCGTTCATCTGTCGACACATACATGATATGTTATGGCACATAACTCACGCAATTTCTGAACGATTTTCGAGCTCCGCTTCCAACGCATATTTAAACTTCCTCAACCGCTCCACCCACATCAACCGGGCTCGCTTTTGCCACTCGCATCTATTCTCCGAGTTATATTCGACTTTCGTTTTCTCGTCCCATTCGCTACATACAAAATGTTTGCGTTAAAGGCTGCCTTTATCCTGTCTGCTTCTACCGCAGTGTTTGCCCACCCTCTTATTCGTGCTCGAACTGAAGGCGGGAGCAAGTGTTCGTCTGGCTCTATGCAGTGCTGCGACTCAATCGCCGTGAGTGCTACTTTACTATTCACTTTACTAGTTCTGACTCTTCATTGTATATTGTGCCTATATTCGTGAATAATGCTGTCACTTAACTTACAGCCCGCCGGTTCCACTGGAGATAGTTCGCTCGGTGGCCTAATCCCCGTCAACCTTCAGGGACTTAACGTTCCGATCGGAGTGAACTGGTGCGCAAGATTCACTTCCACAGCGGAATACGGAATAACTCTGATCTTTAACAGTAATCCGGTGAATGTCCCTGGACTCGGGACATCGGGAACCTGTTCAACGCAGACCGCATGCTGCGATAACAACAATAGCAAGTGTCTTCTCGTTTATGGTGCTTATGGTTTGGGACTCACCCCATTCTCTCCATTGTAGGTTCGGGCCTCATTCCTCTCGGTATCAACTGCTCCCCGATAAACGCCGGCCTCTGATCGCCTACTATCTTCAAAACATGCGTTTATAACTTTATACTTGAACGCGTCCATTCATTTTAGTACAACTTGATATCCTTCGCCTATTCGTTTGATACCCCCAAATTATTTCCACTTTTCGTCTGTTCCAGCACGATCTTTTCCTGCAGAATTTGGTACACGTTGCACAATTATTCCATTGTCGGCCGCCTTCGTAGTCAATACTTATATACATACTCTATTTCTCTAGTTGCGTTACTTGATAATGTGACGCGGTGTGTGTCTATAATGTCACGTCGCGTTTCATTACGAGAGGCATCACGTGGGATTAATAATGATATTTCAGTAACAGTCAGGCCGCCAGGCGCCATTGGCCTGCATCTGTATCACCACCATGCCACCATTCGCGACATGGATCAGGTTACTTCGCGGTGTGTTCTCAGACGTGTTTTACTGCTTGAGTATTGCTGGCTTGCCGACGCTGAAGGCTATCTGGAATAAACCTTCTCTGATATTCAATCCCCGCCAGCTGTCGCAGACATTCATGGCTAAGGTGTGGGAGCCTTTCGGAGACGGGATTGATCAAAATTCTCGTCAAGAAAAAGAAGACCTTATTCTTCCGTGGGCAACCGGTGTAATATTCGAGATTGGAGCTGGTATGTTTGGCTTTGCCTTCGCAATTTCCTGCCTATACCAATTTAATCCCTTAACAAATTGTACATGGCTTTGATCTTGATTTCGGTGCATATATGCGCATCAACTAAAGCCCATGGCCACCTTGCGAAGTACCTTGACAAATATCGTGTAACCGCATACGTCGCCCTCGAGCCGAATGAACTCATGCATGAGCGACTCCGGAATAAGGCTTCCGAGTCGGGATTTAAAGAAGAGGACGGCACGTTCCTGCTAATACCATCCGGAGCAGAGGAAGTAGAGAAGATTGAGCATGTGCTTCAAGAATGGGCTCTGAAATGGAGGAGGGACGGAAAGGATGGGAGAGTTGTCGATTCACTTGTGTCGATTCTCACGTTTTGCTCATTGCCGCCTTGTCCGACTTCCTCATGGCCTGTTCGTTCATCAACTCCTCCGGCCGATACGATCCGTGGCCTCCAAACGCGTATACTTCGTCCAGGTGGCCAACTACTCTTTTACGAGCATGTGCGATCATCAATACCAGCGATTGCTCGTGCACAGGATTTCCTTTCACCTGTTTGGCGTTCCGTCTTTGACGGGTGCACTATTGGCGTAGACAGTGTACGGGCTGTTTGGGAAGCAGGATTTGACGAAGGCGAATTTACTTCTGGTGCTAAAACCAATGGATCTGTAGATGAAAGGATGAAAAGCGGATATGGACTATGGACAGAGAAGGACGGAGTGAGATTTTGGGAACCAATAGATGAGAAGGAAGGAGGATGGGCTGAGATGCGCGTCTGGGGTAATAAGGGGGAAGATCCAGAGTCACTTTTCTGGCATCAGTCTGGGCGATGCGTGAAGAGGCATTGAGTATCCATGATGACTCAGTACCCTATAATGGATCACCCTGGTGAAACTGTGGCGTTGAGCTATCTCTTTCTTTCGTAGCATCTTGATTAGTGTGTTTTGTTTAATGCTTTGACGCTTTATTTCTTCTATAGTGGATGGATTTCTCAATCAATGTATCAGCGTTTGATCCCAGCATTGAACCTTCGTATTCTTGGTGCGACGTAAACGCTCAGTAGGCATAAGCGCAATAACTTAAGGACTCCGATCTGACATATCTTGATGTTATTTAGTCCTTTACACCACATCCCCAAATCACTGCATCACCTACACCTGTTCTAAATGGCATTACCAATTTGTCCATCAAAAGAGACATCATACTCCTCCTTATTATACCTTTGTTACGTTCGTGTGAATGGATATTCTCAGATGCAAAAGGAAATCGACCTAAACAAACCATTAATTGGGTATAAAGCGCAGAAAATCTTTATAGCTTCTATTTTCCTTTGTTTGGAACACAGTTATGGCTTTACGAATGAGTATTGATTTGGTGTCAACTGGAATCTCACAGTGGCAGAGTCCACTTTTGACAGATGCCATCTGATGACCGGGTTTCAAATTGAGCCACCATGCGCCACCTCGTGCAGCATTTAAGAGTCCGACAACTTGTCGAAAGATAACTTAGCCCCCCCCCTCGGTCCTTCACAGCATTGTTTATCTATCTACGCTCCCTCTATGCCAGATATCTCATTAACACTTGGCCCTGATTACTGGGGTTTGTTGTTCAGTGAACTCTGGTTTCTGTATACTTGAGCTTATTTTTTTGACCTCTGGTCATTGGGAAAAAGTCTAAATTCTTGTATTACCTTATAATGGTATAAAATAAGTGAAAAAAGTAAAAAAAGTAAAAACACTTAGAACGGATCTCGGTTTCTGAGAAAGTGATACAAGACATTATAAAGTCTGGAAGGTTTGTGTATTTTGTAAACATAAATAAGAGTTATTCTCCTTGACAATATATAAAATGTATTACAATGGATCTCTAAAATTACAAGGTTAAATCACCCTTGTTGAGTATGGCAAATATTATAATTGTTTATAAAGCTCTTAAATTGTTTTAGTATCTTTCCAATAGTCATTTTTCCTTACATCCGTTTGTTATTGAAATAACAGTTTATAATTATATTGAAACATTATATAAATACATTATATCTACAACAATTAGGGGTGAGACAGTTTGTGAGATTGATTGGCTAAGAGTGTGGGCGTGAGCATTGTCAGTGTGAGTGGGTAACTGGATTGAGGAGATGGATGAACCGCGATGGCGTGTAGCGAGTGT